CATAGCTACTCATGGTGGTGTTGTCTAGCAAATTAAAGTCTCCTGATATAGCAAAATCTAAAGAACCACATGCTGAACAATCTACAGCTTCCTGTGTGCCAACAAAAAAGTTGGTAAAGTCAGAGATTACAATGTTAGCTCCAAAAACTTAAAAAGTCAAAAAAAAAATCTTACACTCTACCAGAAATGATTTATGAAGCTATCCTTGTTGTAAACCAGCATGACAACATAAACGGATTAGCTTAATCTAGTAATCTACAACGTCGTTGTAACAACGATCAAGTAGTAAGATTAGGCTTGACCCTTGGACCACAAAATAATGGTTGTTTTTCCCCTCAACTTGCGTATCTCCATTTGAATCTGCACGATTACATAATTACACCACTAATGTTGCATTATCACTCATACGGTCAAATATACTATAATGATTATATTTTCTTAATATAATCTTCTTCTTTTCTTTTCCCATAGAAACACTCTCTTTTTCATTTAAATTAATAAATTCAGTTGAACGATCTAATATAACCAGCATACAATTTAGTAATAGTGCCAGTTGTTTTGTGTTTTTTTTTTGGGTGCACTTGTTAACGAAGTGTGTTTAGGAACGTAATTAATAATGGGTTAATGACTCTATTAATTAATTGATTGTGGATATAAAAGAATATTAGAAATGCAGCGACTACATTTCTTCCGTTGAATCTTCTTCCTGTGTTGTGGTTGTGGTGGTCGTCGTCTTATAGAGAAGAACAAAACAAAAAAAAACAAAGAAAGAAAAAAAGGCAACTTTGAAGAGCAGATAACAAAAAAATTGGGAGAGAAACAGAGATTTTTTCCGGGAAATTTTGTTCCCCAAGAAAACTTACATTTTTTTTCAATCAGAGTTAGGCAGCGACCGATCTTAAAAGAGAGCTCGTTGTGGTTTCCGTTATACCTAATCCTCCGTACGTTCCTTTTCTTACTTAATCTGTTTCTTCACCAATCTCACTCTCTGTCTCTCCTCAGATTTCCTAAAAGATCTCTCCTTTACGAATCTTTCCAAGTGAAAGTTATCATTTTTTTCACTCCAAAGCCTCAACCTTTCAGTCGAGTTTACCTTATGATTCTTCCATTTTCTGGGTTTTTGAATGGTTTCTGAGAATTAGGGTTTAGAGCTTGTTTGATTTAGGCTTAAGTTTAAGTTTTGGATAAGATTTTTCTTTTATTGCTGTGAGAAATTGGTGAATTGTGTGGAGATGGGAGAGTTTGAGGCAGATGGAGAAGAGAAGTTGATTGTTGCTGCAAACTATCTCGTCAAGGAGCTTAGATCTGGAAAGAGCCTCACTAGAAACGCTAAGAATGTTTTGGGAAATCTCTTATCAGAGCTGTCTCGTATAACAATCTCTGAGGATAATAGAGAAGAAGATCAGGAAGATGATATAGATGAGATTGAGCAAAGGCTTAATCTTGTCAGCGAGAAGATCACGACTCGAGATGTCGATGAATCAATGATCTGGGACTTAGGTTCAGAAGAAGGCAATGCGTTTCTCGATTCCGTGAATGAGCTGAGATCTTTGATTGATCGGTTAGACGCAGGAAAGACTGGAACAGAGGAGCAATCTCTGAGAAAAGCTCATGACGTTCTTCAAACGGCAATGGCAAGGCTAGAGGATGAGTTTAAGCATCTTCTTGTTGAGAACAGATTGCCTTTCGAGCTCGAACACGCTTCTTTTCGTTCTAACGAAGCGGATCTTGCTGCGGAAGAAGGATCCATGGCTTCTTTTGGCGCTGCTTCCACTGAGGATTTGAATCTTGGAAGCAGCAACAGTAGGAGAAACTCAGCTGAGATCATTGTTGATTTGATTAACCCTGAGGTTGTTTCAGATCTCAAGAACATTGCAAACACTATGGTTGCTTCAGGGTATGATCGTGAGTGTATCCAGGTGTGTACAGTGGTGAGAAAAGACTCTCTCGACGAGTTTCTTTATAACCATGAGGTGGAGAAGCTGAGCATTGAAGACGTTCTGAAGATGGATTGGTCTACGTTGAACACGAACATCAAGAAATGGGTTCGTGTGATGAGGAACATCGTGCAGGTCTATCTCCTGAGCGAGAAGTCTCTTGACAATCAGATCTTTGGGGACGTGAACGAGATCGGTCTAACGTGTTTTGTTGATACAGTGAAGGCTCCGATGATGCAGCTGCTGAACTTCGGCGAAGCTGTGTCTCTTGGTCCGAGACAGCCGGAGAAGCTGCTGAGGATTCTTGAAATGTACGAGCTTGCTTCCGAGCTTTTACCGGAGATCGACGCGCTCTTCTCGGATCATCCTGGCTCCATTGTGAGAGCAGAGTACAGAGAAGTGATGAGGAGGCTCGGCGACTGCGCGAGAACGACGTTTCTTGAGTTCAAGAGCGCGATCGCTGCGGATGTCTCGTCGCATCCTTTCCCTGGAGGAGCTGTGCATCCGCTGACGAACTACGTTATGAATTACCTCATGGCGTTGACGGACTTCAGCCAGACGCTTGACTCGCTTCTCATGGAGCAAGACGATGCGGAGGATCTCACGATTCCTCCATCGCCGGATATTCTTAATCCGGTGATGGTGGAAGAAGAGTCTACCTATGAAAACTCTTCTTCGCCGGAGAAGTTTCTTGTGATGACGAGGCATTTCTACTCTATTACATCGGTTCTTGAAGCTAACCTTCAAGAGAAGTCGAAGCTGTATCGAGATGTGTCTCTGAGACATATTTTTCTGCTCAACAACATACATTACATGACCAGGAAAGTGCTAAACTCAGAGCTGAAACATATCTTTGGAGATAAATGGATCAGAAAACATACATGGAAGTTTCAGCAGCAAGCAACGGAGTACGAACGTGCCACTTGGCTCCCTGTCCTGTCTTTCCTCAAGGACGACGGTACAGGCTCAGGCTCAGGCTCTGGCAATGGCAATGGTTCTGGTTCTGGTTCTGGTTCGAGAAACTTGCGTCCGAGGGAGAGGTTTCAAGGATTCAACACAGCGTTTGAGGAAGTGTACAAGACGCAGACGGCTTGGCTGATATCGGATGAGAGGCTGAGAGAAGATGTGAGGACGAAGGCGTCCATGTGGGTGATTCAAGCGTACTGGACGTTTTACAGTAGGCACAAGAACAGTGTGAGTGAGAGGTATATCAAGTACACTACTGATGATCTTGAGACTCTCTTGTTGGATCTCTTTGCTGGTTCTCCTAAATCCTTGAACAATTCTTACAGAAGGTGATCAAACTGATTGTAGCAATTGTGTAATAGTTTGGTGGTTCACACATGACTATGAGGACAAACATGAGTGAAACGGTCTCAATCCAAGGGAGGAACATCAAATGGACCTAATTTGGGAACCGGAAGAGGTAAGGAGTCCGAAATGTACCTCTGTGACTCCACATTGTGGAAACTCACTTGTAGTGTATAAGATGAACTAGATGGACCCATACTTACCCAAACATGGATTAATAGGTTCTACACATGACTATGAGGACAAACATGAGTGAAACGGTCTCAATCCAAGGGAGGAACATCAAATGGACCTAATTTGGGAACCGGAAGAGGTAAGGAGTCCGAAATGTACCTCTGTGACTCCACATTGTGGAAACTCACTTGTAGTGTATAAGATGAACTAGATGGACCCATACTTACCCAAACATGGATTAATAGGTTCTACACATGACTATGAGGACAAACATGAGTGAAACGGTCTCAATCCAAGGGAGGAACATCAAATGGACCTAATTTGGGAACCGGAAGAGGTAAGGAGTCCGAAATGTACCTCTGTGACTCCACATTGTGGAAACTCACTTGTAGTGTATAAGATGAACTAGATGGACCCATACTTACCCAAACATGGATTAATAGGTTCTACACATGACTATGAGGACAAACATGAGTGAAACGGTCTCAATCCAAGGGAGGAACATCAAATGGACCTAATTTGGGAACCGGAAGAGGTAAGGAGTCCGAAATGTACCTCTGTGACTCCACATTGTGGAAACTCACTTGTAGTGTATAAGATGAACTAGATGGACCCATACTTACCCAAACATGGATTAATAGGTTCTACACATGACTATGAGGACAAACATGAGTGAAACGGTCTCAATCCAAGGGAGGAACATCAAATGGACCTAATTTGGGAACCGGAAGAGGTAAGGAGTCCGAAATGTACCTCTGTGACTCCACATTGTGGAAACTCACTTGTAGTGTATAAGATGAACTAGATGGACCCATACTTACCCAAACATGGATTAATAGGTTCTACACATGACTATGAGGACAAACATGAGTGAAACGGTCTCAATCCAAGGGAGGAACATCAAATGGACCTAATTTGGGAACCGGAAGAGGTAAGGAGTCCGAAATGTACCTCTGTGACTCCACATTGTGGAAACTCACTTGTAGTGTATAAGATGAACTAGATGGACCCATACTTACCCAAACATGGATTAATAGGTTCTACACATGACTATGAGGACAAACATGAGTGAAACGGTCTCAATCCAAGGGAGGAACATCAAATGGACCTAATTTGGGAACCGGAAGAGGTAAGGAGTCCGAAATGTACCTCTGTGACTCCACATTGTGGAAACTCACTTGTAGTGTATAAGATGAACTAGATGGACCCATACTTACCCAAACATGGATTAATAGGTTCTACACATGACTATGAGGACAAACATGAGTGAAACGGTCTCAATCCAAGGGAGGAACATCAAATGGACCTAATTTGGGAACCGGAAGAGGTAAGGAGTCCGAAATGTACCTCTGTGACTCCACATTGTGGAAACTCACTTGTAGTGTATAAGATGAACTAGATGGACCCATACTTACCCAAACATGGATTAATAGGTTCTACACATGACTATGAGGACAAACATGAGTGAAACGGTCTCAATCCAAGGGAGGAACATCAAATGGACCTAATTTGGGAACCGGAAGAGGTAAGGAGTCCGAAATGTACCTCTGTGACTCCACATTGTGGAAACTCACTTGTAGTGTATAAGATGAACTAGATGGACCCATACTTACCCAAACATGGATTAATAGGTTCTACACATGACTATGAGGACAAACATGAGTGAAACGGTCTCAATCCAAGGGAGGAACATCAAATGGACCTAATTTGGGAACCGGAAGAGGTAAGGAGTCCGAAATGTACCTCTGTGACTCCACATTGTGGAAACTCACTTGTAGTGTATAAGATGAACTAGATGGACCCATACTTACCCAAACATGGATTAATAGGTTCTACACATGACTATGAGGACAAACATGAGTGAAACGGTCTCAATCCAAGGGAGGAACATCAAATGGACCTAATTTGGGAACCGGAAGAGGTAAGGAGTCCGAAATGTACCTCTGTGACTCCACATTGTGGAAACTCACTTGTAGTGTATAAGATGAACTAGATGGACCCATACTTACCCAAACATGGATTAATAGGTTCTACACATGACTATGAGGACAAACATGAGTGAAACGGTCTCAATCCAAGGGAGGAACATCAAATGGACCTAATTTGGGAACCGGAAGAGGTAAGGAGTCCGAAATGTACCTCTGTGACTCCACATTGTGGAAACTCACTTGTAGTGTATAAGATGAACTAGATGGACCCATACTTACCCAAACATGGATTAATAGGTTCTACACATGACTATGAGGACAAACATGAGTGAAACGGTCTCAATCCAAGGGAGGAACATCAAATGGACCTAATTTGGGAACCGGAAGAGGTAAGGAGTCCGAAATGTACCTCTGTGACTCCACATTGTGGAAACTCACTTGTAGTGTATAAGATGAACTAGATGGACCCATACTTACCCAAACATGGATTAATAGGTTCTACACATGACTATGAGGACAAACATGAGTGAAACGGTCTCAATCCAAGGGAGGAACATCAAATGGACCTAATTTGGGAACCGGAAGAGGTAAGGAGTCCGAAATGTACCTCTGTGACTCCACATTGTGGAAACTCACTTGTAGTGTATAAGATGAACTAGATGGACCCATACTTACCCAAACATGGATTAATAGGTTCTACACATGACTATGAGGACAAACATGAGTGAAACGGTCTCAATCCAAGGGAGGAACATCAAATGGACCTAATTTGGGAACCGGAAGAGGTAAGGAGTCCGAAATGTACCTCTGTGACTCCACATTGTGGAAACTCACTTGTAGTGTATAAGATGAACTAGATGGACCCATACTTACCCAAACATGGATTAATAGGTTCTACACATGACTATGAGGACAAACATGAGTGAAACGGTCTCAATCCAAGGGAGGAACATCAAATGGACCTAATTTGGGAACCGGAAGAGGTAAGGAGTCCGAAATGTACCTCTGTGACTCCACATTGTGGAAACTCACTTGTAGTGTATAAGATGAACTAGATGGACCCATACTTACCCAAACATGGATTAATAGGTTCTACACATGACTATGAGGACAAACATGAGTGAAACGGTCTCAATCCAAGGGAGGAACATCAAATGGACCTAATTTGGGAACCGGAAGAGGTAAGGAGTCCGAAATGTACCTCTGTGACTCCACATTGTGGAAACTCACTTGTAGTGTATAAGATGAACTAGATGGACCCATACTTACCCAAACATGGATTAATAGGTTCTACACATGACTATGAGGACAAACATGAGTGAAACGGTCTCAATCCAAGGGAGGAACATCAAATGGACCTAATTTGGGAACCGGAAGAGGTAAGGAGTCCGAAATGTACCTCTGTGACTCCACATTGTGGAAACTCACTTGTAGTGTATAAGATGAACTAGATGGACCCATACTTACCCAAACATGGATTAATAGGTTCTACACATGACTATGAGGACAAACATGAGTGAAACGGTCTCAATCCAAGGGAGGAACATCAAATGGACCTAATTTGGGAACCGGAAGAGGTAAGGAGTCCGAAATGTACCTCTGTGACTCCACATTGTGGAAACTCACTTGTAGTGTATAAGATGAACTAGATGGACCCATACTTACCCAAACATGGATTAATAGGTTCTACACATGACTATGAGGACAAACATGAGTGAAACGGTCTCAATCCAAGGGAGGAACATCAAATGGACCTAATTTGGGAACCGGAAGAGGTAAGGAGTCCGAAATGTACCTCTGTGACTCCACATTGTGGAAACTCACTTGTAGTGTATAAGATGAACTAGATGGACCCATACTTACCCAAACATGGATTAATAGGTTCTACACATGACTATGAGGACAAACATGAGTGAAACGGTCTCAATCCAAGGGAGGAACATCAAATGGACCTAATTTGGGAACCGGAAGAGGTAAGGAGTCCGAAATGTACCTCTGTGACTCCACATTGTGGAAACTCACTTGTAGTGTATAAGATGAACTAGATGGACCCATACTTACCCAAACATGGATTAATAGGTTCTACACATGACTATGAGGACAAACATGAGTGAAACGGTCTCAATCCAAGGGAGGAACATCAAATGGACCTAATTTGGGAACCGGAAGAGGTAAGGAGTCCGAAATGTACCTCTGTGACTCCACATTGTGGAAACTCACTTGTAGTGTATAAGATGAACTAGATGGACCCATACTTACCCAAACATGGATTAATAGGTTCTACACATGACTATGAGGACATGAGTGAAACGGTCTCAATCCAAGGGAGGAACATCAAATGGACCTAATTTGGGAACCGGAAGAGGTAAGGAGTCCGAAATGTACCTCTGTGACTCCACATTGTGGAAACTCACTTGTAGTGTATAAGATGAACTAGATGGACCCATACTTACCCAAACATGGATTAATAGGTTCTACACATGACTATGAGGACAAACATGAGTGAAACGGTCTCAATCCAAGGGAGGAACATCAAATGGACCTAATTTGGGAACCGGAAGAGGTAAGGAGTCCGAAATGTACCTCTGTGACTCCACATTGTGGAAACTCACTTGTAGTGTATAAGATGAACTAGATGGACCCATACTTACCCAAACATGGATTAATAGGTTCTACACATGACTATGAGGACAAACATGAGTGAAACGGTCTCAATCCAAGGGAGGAACATCAAATGGACCTAATTTGGGAACCGGAAGAGGTAAGGAGTCCGAAATGTACCTCTGTGACTCCACATTGTGGAAACTCACTTGTAGTGTATAAGATGAACTAGATGGACCCATACTTACCCAAACATGGATTAATAGGTTCTACACATGACTATGA